GATGCTTAACAACTGAGACACTCAGGGGCCTGCTAGGCTTGATTCTTTAAATGCTGAAGAAATTTAGAAAATTATCTCCTTTTCATAATTTTACTTTCTTTTTTTACAAAATATATTTTACTTTCTTAACAAAGCTTTGTTTATAACCATCTTGCCTTACAGGATCTCCATGGGTCCCCACCTCAATGGACGTCTTGAACTGGACACTTACACAGACAACATGCAAAGAAGTAAAACCAGCACTTTTTGCATATGCAATTATTTGGTTGATTTCCAGAACAAATTCATGAAGTATGTCAGAGTATTACCATCCTTATTTTACAGCAATGGAACTGAAGCTTAGGTTAAGTAATTGACTCAATAGCATAGGTGTGGAATAGGTGAATAAACCCCACTATTAGTCATTAACTTCTTCTGAATTTGCCTGTCAACTAAAGCTAGCTTATCATCGAATAAAGCCTCACAGAGTTTTTTGGCAGTGGTGCTTAGTGTTGGTGAAGAGAAAGATTTGTGAAGAGAATCTGACGCTGGAGCCCTATGGAGGGAAGGCAGGTTTGGGTGGCCTCCCAGGCAACTGGAAAGCATCCTGGACTGCTTTGCAAAAGAATAGTGGAAGGCATGGTGAGGACTTGGGAAGGTGAGGCAGAGAGTTCAAAAGACATTTTCCAGGAATGCCTGGAAAGGGAAATCTCTGTGGTGAATTATAAACTCCATTAACATATTTGTCATATGAAGGCACATTCCCTGGAATAGGTGACCTTGAGGAATTTTCTATCAGGACACAGTCCAAGGAAACAAGGCACTTGACCCTTGGCTGTTTATAAGTGACCTCGTTTTACTCTGACTTTTCTTTTTGTCAGGTTTTGCTTTGTCTGTTGTGAGTGGCAGATGGTTGCTAGCATCCTGGTCCATGATTCTTCTTTACCCCCATGGAGAGAGTCTGATATGTAAGATACTACCCTACAGACCATGTTGGCACCTTTCATTGATACACAGTTTGATATTTAGATACTTTTCAAGAAGAAAATCTTCTCAGAGATTAAATAAATTTCTAAGAGCTCATTCTTGGGCTTATAAAATCATGATGTATGGAAGAAGACAACTTTGCTGTCTTTTGTTACAATGCCTGTTTTTTTATTCTTACACTGTGTCCAGTCAATGTTCTAAGTCTCCTTACCAAAAGCAAGTAAAATAAATGTGTTTTTTTTTTCCTTTGAGTTTAAAGCATTGAAAAAATGTATTTGCTTTACATAGAATCTCTTTTGGGGGCAAAACAGACTACATTAATTGTACAGATATGTAGTGTGGATTTGAGACAATGTGTCATTCCATCCTTGGAAAGATGGAAGGCAGGTGTGTGTGACTAAACGCTTGATTTGTTCTCTGGTTTTCTCATTTGAGTCAATTTGGTTGTTCCACTCAGAGGAGTGTCAATCTGGATCTTTATTTTTAGTGGGTGTTTCCCTATTCCTCCTAGAGATAAAAAAAAAAAAATTGCCAGAATAATAAAGTTTAGAGAATAAAAACAGTAGTAATATTTCCAGAAATGTTTTCTATCTACTAAATTATTTAATCTTCACAATAACCCTATAAAACACTTATCCTGGTTTTTCATTTGAGGAAACTGAGAGTCAGGAAGAATTACCAAGTTACTTAATTTGGACAACATCACATTGTTGATAAATTATGGGGCTTCGATTCAAGCAAAAGTCTGTTTGCTATCATTCTGTTAGCTATTGTCGAATAATAGTTAATGACAAAATCTCAGTGATATACCATAGCAAGCATTTAATTCTTGATCCTGTTTCTGTGGTTTGATTGGGAGCTGTCTGACCAGGCTTGGCTCAGCTGGTTTGGACTCCAGATGCAGCTTGGATTCAGGTTTGCTCCGTATGTCTTTCTTACTTTTTGGACCAGTGGGCTATACTTGATTCTCATCATGTACAAGAGACAGTAGCACAGGAGGACAAGTCTAACCACACAAGCGTATTTCAAAGGTCTATTCAGATCATATTTCCTAACATTCCACTGCCCAAAGCCTAATATCAGTGAAGTGGGGAAGTCTCTTTTCATGGAGGTGAGAGATGGAGTGGGGGATGACTATTTACCTAATAATCATTTGATCTACCTTCAAAGCTTATGTATTCTTTGCTTTTCTGAATTTATAAATATTGAAAGCACAGGGATGACACTCTCAGTTGTGAGTTAGCCATCTTGTGTATGCTTGTCATGGGGGTTACACACTGTCATTTCTTCTGACTGCAGTTGCCCCAATTCTGTGCCCTAGAAGATATTTGACTATTTTTATCTTTTTTGACACCATCTGTCCTTACTAGCATTGAAGGGGAAGATCATCAATAGTTGAATCTAGAAGACTAAGGTTATGATCATTAATGTAAAATAGAATCTTTTTTTTTCTGGTTTATGCAATCTAAGGGCTTTGATGGGGAAAATGTTTCTAGTACAAGTGCTAGCACATATAGTAGAAAGCAATCAAGTGTTTGTCCCAAGTAGCAGGACACAAACTCTTCTTCTAGAAACAATAGATTGCAAGGATTATACCGGCTCAGGTAGTGCAGCCAAAGGAGCTTCTTACCTTCTTCTTCCTCATGCTCAATAGCTAGCTTGAAGCTAGGATGCTCCTCACACGCAATGCAATGAGAATCTTACATATCAACACCTTGGGCTATGAGCTAGAGATTTTGCAGTACATATCCCTCATGCTTGGTCCTTGCTAATTTGGATATTAAGCCAAATTATGAAAATATTTTAGGGTAGAGACAGAATTCCTAGTTTCAGTCCAAACCATATCAAAAGCTTAATGGCTGGAAAAAAGACCATTGAAAGTTTCTATGACTAGGTTTTCCTCTTCAACAAATTAATACCATGTAACCTTTCCTTGCCTTTTGCTTTTGAATCTTACCTGTGTCTCAAGAAGTGGCTGAAAAGATTAATCCCCAGGAGAATAAATTAAGTCAAGTGTTTTGCCCAGCAACTCTTATGCTTTCATGTCTAGATTTATAAGGACTATGAGACCTTTAGGACTCAAGGTGCTAACTCTGCTTCTTGGCTTACAGTTGGCTTGAGGTCTTTGTTCAGTGTTTCCCATTTCTGCCTGATGCATGCTAGCGTCTCTGATGTGATTGTCCTAGCATTTTTGTTTCTCACCTCAGCATATTTTGAATGCCATTTCTTTACAGTTTTGCACTGGAACATCCATAAAAGACTTTTTGTGCTTTCCTTGGTCCCCCAGCTTATCCGCAAAGCATGTTCATGTGACAATGACAATTCGCTACACAGTCTCAGTGCCTTTCACTATTGTGTTAAAATGACTTCGCTGCTAGTTATCCAGCTTCCCTACAGGACTTCCTTGTACATCATCATTCATTTTGCTACTCTTTATTCCATTGGAGCTTGAAAAAGGTTTTCAGAGAACCTTCCCAGAAATTTGCAATAACTGTGTCATAGGTACTGGACCAAGATCACTTAGGTAGATGTGGCCGCAGTAGGGATAGTGGTATCGTGTGCATGCACAACACATCTGGCATTTTCATCCTTCCATAGCACAAGAAGGTGTGCTGCCCAGTAGCAGAATTCCGTGCATGTCAGAGCTACCATTTGGCAGTTGGTAGTGTGAATGGGAAATGTGTAAAGTGTTTTTAGGTTTTTGGAGGACAGGCAGCTTATCTGTGCCAACTATTGTTGTTATGAAGGAACACAAATCTAAATCTGTCTGTATGGTTGGATCGCTGTGCTTGGTTTATTTAAAACATGGCATTTGGAGAGAGGTAAAATACCAGCACACTGTGTCTTTGCCTTTTTTTCCCCCCCAAAGCAAATTTGTTGGGTTTATTTGCCATAGTCGTGCAGTAAAGAGGCATGCGCCTATTGTGACAGACCTTCTTTGTACTGTTAATTCTAATAGAAATAATCATCTACATTAATTTATAAAGATAGAATGGAGTGCGGACGTTGACTCAAAAGAAGAGAACAGCTATGAACAGTTTGATTTATAGTGGTATTAAAGCAAATGATTCAGATTTAGTTTGTACATTCTAAGGTTGCTTGTCCAGTGGTTAGTTGTTGAAATATATTCAGCAAAGAGCAGTTTCTCACTGAGCAACACACCCCTGATAGAATGTGTGATTTATTCTGTTGAGGCCAGGGCCATATTTTGCGCTTGATATGTGAGAGGCTGCTACCTGCACATCAGTGTTTCTTAGGTAGGAGAGGATTGCTTTAGAATGAAATAAATAACCGTATCAGACACTAATTTTATGGGACTAGAATGTAAATGTATTGAATAATCAGAGAGCATGTAAATAGCAAGCTAATTTTCAGAACCATCACCACTCAGTTTGCAAAATGTCCTTCCTATTTAAAAGAATGAAACTCAGCTGCCACAGGGAGTATAATATGCTCAGTGGTCAGTTATGATATGAAGAAAACAAATTAGGATTTTGTTACGACGTAGGTCCCTCATGTAGTATCATGATGGATTTACTGTGCTTCCTGGAAATCTTGGTTGGTCTCCCAGACTGACTTTGGTGTCCTTTCTCAGGTTTTCCATAGCCCTCTGCTTTCCTTGGTCATAGAATGGGTCACACTGAGGCATAATTGTTGCCTACCTTGGATCTCGCTACCTTGAAACCATAAACTACTTGGGGTCAAGGTCCAACTTTTTCTCAGCATTTGGCAGGTGGATGTATGTACTAAATATTGAGTGAGTAAAATATTTCCATGCCAGTTGAATCCCAGTAGTTTGTCTAACATATATAGGTGCCCCCAGGAGCTCCCAGTTTTTAATGTGATTCCCTCATCACTGCCTCACATAGTTCTGGTTCTGATTTCCCCATCTTTAATTTGATGAGTTTCAACGATATATATAATCTTCAATTATGTTCTGAGTTTTGGTGACTTATTCATTTTGAACCCCCAAGGTAACCGATTATTTCATTAATCATTATTTCTTACCAGTAATGTGTGTTTCTATAGGGAGCATGACTTCGGCAACTTCACCTATCATTTTAAAATGGGACCCCAAAAGTTTGGAAATCCGGACACTAACAGTGGAGAGGCTTTTGGAGCCACTTGTTACACAGGTAAGGGATGATTTGAAACACTTCGTTACTTGTATATGTTTCTATTGTGATTATATCATGACTCTTCAAAAAACTTAGAAATTGCTAAGAGTGAATACTACATCATGCCATAATGCTAAATACTGAAGATATGTTACTGCCTGAACTCTGGACCGTTTTATTGCCCAATAACATTTGAAGTACCTTTTTCAAAACTCATCATATGATTTTTGAAATTAGGTTGATGAGATAATTAAAGAGGGGGACTTGGTAAATGGGGCTCTCATTCGTAGTAATGAATTCAAGTCTAAATAAACCATTCCTAGCTCACTTTCAGATGCTAATGCACAGTGGGAAGAACTGTATTGACTATTTAAGAGCAAAGTATATTACTTTTCTTTAGTTTAAAATGGAGAATTTATCATGTTGGAAAAATGAAATGTTCCATTTTTTTTTGTTGTCACAGATGCCATATCTCCACAGGTGACTGTCAACAACAACAAAAAAATTCTGGGAATTTAAGTTTTAAAAGTTAATTTTTAGTATCTTATGAAGCATATTATTTGCTATATTAAACGCAGAAATACATGGAATGTGAAAATTAAAGATTTTTATGGTGTATTTTTAGGGAAGTATTATGCCAAATTAAGTAGAAATTTCTTTTTTGTTTCCTTCTTTTCATTATTATTTTTTAAAATTTAAATTCAATTACTGGTTTTTCATACTGGTTTCCTATAGCTGCTATAACAAATTACCACAAACTTAGTGTCTTAAAGCATCACAAATTTATTATCTTATGGTTCTGGAGGTCAGAAATCCTCAAGTCAAGGTGTTGGCAGAGCTGCGTTCCTTGTAGAGGCTCTGGCAGAAAGTGTATGTCCTTCCTTGTCTTTTGCATCTTCTAAAGTCCACTTGCCTTCTACCCCGTCCTCCATATTCAAAGCCAGAAGTGTAGCATCTTCAAATCTCTCTCTTGACTCTGACCTCTGCTTCTATCCTCACACCTCCATCTTAGAAGGACCTTCTGATTACATTGGGCCCACTGAAATACTCCAGAATAATCTCAAAATCCTTAACCAAATCACAGCCATTTAAGATAACATATTCACAGTTTCCAGGGATTAGGACATGGACATCTTTGGGGGTCATTATTCAGCTCAACATAGTCTGCCCTCTGTCCACCCCCAAATTCATATCCTTCCTACATGGGAAACACATTCACCACATCCCCAGATTCCCCAAAATCTCAACCTATTATAGAATCATTTCAAGTCCAAAATCTCATCAAAATTTCATCAGCTAAATTCCAGATCTTTTCATCTAAATCATCTAAAGTAGGTGTAGGTAAGTTTCTGGTTATAATCCATTCTTGAACAAAATTCCTCTCCATCTGTTACCTGTGAAACTAGAAAACAACATATATATATGTTCCCAGAATGCATTGGGATAAGATACACAGGCATAAGAAAATAGGTAGAGATATTCCCACTAAAAAGGGAGAAGGTGGAAGGGAAAAAAGGATTATCAATTCTTCCTCAAGCAATTTAGAAATCCAGCTGGGCAAATTCCCTTAGACTGGAAAGCTTGGGAACAACTGGCAGTGTTTCTACTGATATAACATTCTTTTTTTTTCTTTAGACTTTCTTTCTTTCTTTATTTGAGAGAGAGACAGAAACAGAGATAGAGAGAACACGATCCGGAAGGAGAGGGCCCCGACACGGGGCTCCATCCCAGGAGCCTGGGATCATGACCTGAGTGAGGGCAGATGCTTAACTGACTGAGCCACCCAGGCACCCCCCGATATAACATTCTTAAGAAACCTGTGGTTCTCCCATTTGTCTCTAGGATTCATGCTGTTAGAAAAGAGGCTACTTCACAGAACATTCCCAGATAATCCCATCTCCATTTCTGGCCTCTGCTGAATTGGTCAAAGCCATCCATGAATTACATGCCTAATTTCTTCAAAGAAGCCCTCTGTATGACTGAATACTCTGAGCTTTCAGTCCTTCCAAGGCACAAGCCAGAGGTTATCTAGACATACAACTGGCTTTCTCTCCAAAGCATACTTTCCTGAGAGTGAGTTTTCTAATTTTAGTGCCTTTTGCAGTTTACATAGGCTGAGAATTTTCCAAATCATCAAGTCCTGGTTTCTTTTAGCTTAACAGTTCTTCTCTCAATTTATTTCTTTCTTCTCACATTTTACTATAAGCAGGAGGAAGAAACCAGAGCACTCCTTCAACACTGTGCTTGGAAAACTTCTTGACTAAATGTCCAAGTTCATCCTGTACAGTTCTGATTTCCACATAACTGTAAGACACAATCCATCCAAGCTTTCTGTCACTCTTTCTTCCATTTCCTAGTAACATGTTCTTCATTTTTTTCTGAGCCTTCTCTAGCATCTCTTTAACACCTGTGTTTCTACAGTCTTTTTATAATGATTTAGATATTCTCTCAGATGATAAGAGGCTTTCTCTACCTTGCTCCTCACTTCCTTCTGAGTCCTTGCAAGCAAGGCCTTTATAATCCCTGTTTTTACTAACAGTCAGTGCAAGGCAATCTTGGATTTTTCTATTAAAATTCTTTAAATTTTTCTAACATCTGCCTGTTATCAATTCCAAAGCCACTTCCACATTTTTAGGTGTTTGTAATAGCAGCACCCTACTCCCGAGAACTAAAATCTGTATGTTTCCAATTGCCACTATAACAAATTACCACAACCTGAGTAGCTTAAAACAACACAAATTTATTACTCTATAGCTTCAGAGGTCAGAACTCCTAAAATCAAGGTGTTGGTAGGGCTGTGTTCCTTAAGGAGGGCATTCCTTTCCTTTTCAACATCTGGTATGCACCTGCATTTCTTGGTTGTGGTGCTTTCATCCTTCCTTAAAGCCAGCATTATACCACCTTCACATCTCTGCCTCTGACTTCAGCTTCTACTGTCTCACCTCTTGCTCTGACTAACTCTCTGACTTCTCTCTTATGAGTACCCTTGTGATGACATTGGAGCCAGCCAAATATTCTAAAATAATCTCTCCCTCTTGAGATCTTTAAACTAATCACATCTGCAAAATCCCTTTGTTATTGAAGATAACATATTCACAAGTTTTCGGGTGTAGGAAGTGGATATCTTTGTATGTAATTGTTGAAACGTTTCATTAGATTTATGCACATTTTTCAGTTGATTGTGATTCTTGTTAGCTCTATGAAAATTTCTTTTGAGAAACACTTATTCCTGAATGGCTCTTAGATATGGGAGTATGTTGTCTACTCAGATTATGGTCTGTAGACTAAGGCCTATGCATGAATTGTTTGTTACTGGTCTGCAGTAAGCACAGAAATTGAGAGTAAGTGCTTTTAAATTTTTATGACATTTTACAGAATAATTTTATGTATGTTGAATCAAGTAATTTTAGACTTGAATTTTTTATCTTTTAAATTTTTTGAATCATTCATTTTGTTGTATTTTATAGTGCTTTGGTTTATGATGTATTAGAATAACAAAAATATGGCTTTTCATTGTAGATAGCTTGAGAAAGATTGGCTTAGGAGATATTTTGGAGTCAGGTCAATTTGGTCTGAAATGTAGTTCCTTCAGCCTAGTTAAAAGCAGACTGTCTTTTTCTAACCTCAGAATTTTACCTTCATATCAATATTAAATTTAATCCTTCTTTTACAGATAAATGAAACACAATAATTAAAACACAATGACTGGTATAAAGTAAATGTTGATTAAATATAGTTTCCATTTTTCTGTTTTTTGATGGCTATATATTCAGGCTTGTGTTAGCCATTATCCAACACTGTATAAGTCAAGGAGAAGGATATAAATGAATCTGGCATAAAAAAACAAAATATTACACATAAACTATCTTTCATTTCTTAAAATTTTCATGTATTTATATTTTGCTCATATTTCTCTTATCTATAGAATAGTATATCTAAGATTATAATTAAAAATTATTTTTTTCCATATATAGGTACCTAAATTCTGTCAGATAAAGGCAATGCATTAAAAACATTTATTAAAAGTTAGGACAGTTAAATGTCTAATTTATATTTGTTCATTTAATGCAGTGGAATATGTAAAACTCTTCTTGAATTTCACACAGTGACTTAGCACTGTAATGAGTCTTAGCATCCCTTTAATATCTTCTGGTATCTATGTAGCTTATCTTTCTTTTCAGTGTTCCTACCCTGACTTAGAGAGAGAGATTCTTTCAAAAACGTGACTTTTCAGACAAGCTTCTCTATTATTTCCTCTAATATTATGGCTCTGCTATCAAGACTAAGCATTCCCTCTCCTAGAATAAAGCCTTAATGTTAGGACTGATGTGATTGTTGACCTTTGAAAGGCATATGAATCAGAAAGGAGAGATAAGAAAATACTGGATATAAACTGCTGAACATTTTTAAAAAAAGTGGAACTGAGAAAGAAAACTAAATCAAGGCCCTATTTGTGTCACACACACACACACACACACACACACACACACTCTCTCTCACACATACACACCCCTTTATGAATTGAATAAAGTTCATAGTGGTATTCAGTGATGCAGTATGCTCATAACCATCCTAGTTTTTCTGATAAGGATAGATAAGTAATGAAATAAATACCAGGAATTAAGGGTTCTCAGTAAAATTCATTCACTGTCATAAGAAAAATGACATTAGAAATTTACTGTTGATAAGTATTTAAAATATGCAACCAAATTATCTCATTTTAATCATAATGTATGTGAGGCTGCATATTTATCTTACAATGTCAAAATGGCAAAATCCTTTTTGAATAATTTTTACATTATGGAAGTCATGATATTTCAAATGAGAAAGGATTTATCTTAGAAAGTTTAGTCCTTGAACAAGGTGCCCAAATTTTTTATAAATTCCAGAAAGTAAAAATTTTTAATAGGTCACATCCTGTGATATTAAGTTTTATTAGAAAACTAAGATACTTGATTAGGCAATTTTATTAGAAAACTAAAAAATAATATACTAGAAATTAAGAAACACTCTTAGAT